CACGGACCCGCCGCCGGCGGACAGGCGGACACGCAGACACACGGACCCGCCGCGCCAAGGCCGCGCGCGCGCTCCCGCGCAGCACTTACCCGGCCGCCCCCGCGCGCGGCGCCCGCCGCCCCTCTCTCACGCCGGGCCCCGCAGAGCCCCGCGCTGCGGTGCCGGGCCCCTCACCCCGGGGGCCGTGCCGTGCCGTGCCCAGCCCAGCCCAGCCCAGCCCCGCCGCTTCTCTCCTCCTCTCGCCGCGCTCCCCGTCCGGCTCCGCCGCTCTCGCCGCTCCGCGCCCGCCGCCGCCCGCCCGCGGCTCTGCCCCCCCAGCCCCGCGCGGCCCCGCCTCTCCCCCCCCACAACACTGTAGTAAGTTCTCATTGGTCCGGGGCGGTGGGCGGGGCGCCAGCGCAGCCTCGCCATTGGCCGAGGGGAACCCGCGGCCGGCGGGGCGGGCGGGGGGAGCGGGCGCGCGCCCCCTCATGGTTCCCCCCTCCCTTCCCCTCACGTTTCCCTCCCGCGGGCGGCCCTGAGGGACCGCCCGGTCCCGCCTCGCTCAGCCCCGCCATAAACGCACCCCTGCGAGGGGAGGCTGAAATGATGCCGACAACACCCCCCCCCCGTAAACCGATGGTGGAGGGGGGGGGGGCGATGGTTTGGCGCCGCACGGCACCGGTAGGAACGGGGCAAGGAGGGGCCCTGCCCGCCGGTACCACTCCCCCTCCCTCCCTGACCTAGATTTTAAATACAGTTCGCTGTCTCCCAGAGAAAGTTGTAGCCCAGCTCTGCAGGGAGACCCGGGGGAGATGAACGAAGGGGGGCCGGGATGAAGGAGGTGGGAGGGATGAAGAAATCAGCGGGGGCGTTGGGGTGTTCTTTAGGCTATTACTGTATTCTTTAATCCTTTCTTTTTTTTTTTTTTAAGCATAAGGCCATTCAGGTACTGCCTCAGTCCGTGGATGGCGAGCCAAAAAAAAAAGCGATAATTGAAATGGGGAGCACTTGGTCAACAAGAAACCCCCCCAGGAGCCCGGCACAGCCCCGCCGAGGAGCCAGACCTGCCCCTGCCCTGCAATCCCGCACCTACGGCAAGGACTGGCTTTTCCCCACCCACAGCCAAATTATAATCGGTTATTTTTCTCAACCAGAGCTGTCCAGCTCTCCCTGCTACGTACATCGGAGCAAATCGCTGCCCGGCACCATCGGCGCTCCCGCGGGCTCCAGCAAGGCTGCTGCCAGCCTGCCCAGCTCGGGGGGCCAAACCCCCCTCAAACATTTGCACAATCCCAAAGGACGCTTGGCACCGAGGCATCTCTGTTTGTTTCCCGAAGAGAATTAAGCTCTCGGGCACATTATTCTGCTTGGATTAAGAGCAACTGCCCTGCCTCTTCATCAGCAGATAATACCCCGGGCTGATGCACACCCTGGTTGGGACAGCTCCATCCTCCTGCTGAGCCCTCACTGCTACTGACCTAGCAAGGACCACTCACACTGAGGGCACTTGTGCTAAACGGGAGCTAAAACCCCTCAATTTTCTGAAAAATTGACATGCTCCTTGCAGCTGTTTACCCCTTCTCCTTTATATGTCTAGGACACTCAACTCAAAAAGAATGGGGGCAGCTCCCCTTTGCCTCAGTGTTGAGACTGCTTGGAAAAAGCTCTTTAAATGAGAGGGAAGACAGGTATTTTCGCCTCAAATCTGGACTATCTGGTGGTTTCCTTGGACCCAGCTGAGCACATCTGATTAAAAGACACAAGCTGGGAAAGGTCTGGCGGCTGCAAGTTGCTGCTCCTACACTGGGGACAGGCAGTTCCCTTGAAACGTGCCCTGAAGCTGACTTCACTCCCCACAGCAATAAATTAACACGTTTTAATAGCCTGGGCTGTGCACAGGAGGAGCCTCAGATGTCTGGTGCTGACCCACCACAACTGCTGCTGCTCACCCAGGGCTGGGCTGAAAACAGATGAGAAACACGAGCCCAAAGGGCTTGGAGGAGAAAACCACCCAGCAAAGAAAACACAATTTTTGGATGGCAGCAACTTCTTGCAATTAAGAAAAAACAAGCAAACAAGCCCACATCACTTCATCATCAGCTGGTTGCAGATTAAGTGGAGGAGAGACCAGGGCAACAAAAACTTCGCATCAAAGCAGTGATTTAACACCACACAGCTCATCATCCACTGCACTGGGATCACCAGATGATCCCCAACTCCATCTGCCAGCAGCTGAGACCAGAGAGCAGCAGCATTCTGAGCCATTATTTCCCAGGTGAAGCATTTATCCCCAGGGAGCAGCACCAGTGCAAGCTGCAGACACGCTGTGCACGAGGGCAAAGGATGCTGCTGTCACCTCTCCAGGCCCCAAACAAATGGCTGAGAGCTCGAGTGGAAGGAGGAGCTTCAAAGCTAAAGAAAGAGAAACTAAAAACTTGGGCTATCAGGTATGAAAAGAGGAACTTGGTCTGTGCCATGAGAGAGCCTGGAAAATGCTCTGTTGGGGCAGAGGGATTTAAGCCAAAGCTCCTTTTGTAGGAAGCAGAAAATAAGGATAAAAAAGGGGAAAAAAAACCCCAAACCCACCATTATTGTGCACAGGGAAATACACTCATCACCACCACACTTCTGTAAGCCACTGACTTAGCTTCTAACCTTTTCCCTCCTACACAGCCCCAAACTGACCTCTGAAATCCCATAGGAAGTAATGGAAATGTCTTAAATTCTTCCCTATAAGAACAGTTTGCCCCGTGCCAAGCCTGGATTGCAAATATTTAAAGAACTCTCCCAGTTACAGCTGGTTTAAGTTGCTTTACAGGAGTCATTTAGAGACTGGGAATTATTTTAGTAAATCAGGATTTCGTGGTATTCAGCTGCTGGATATAGGAATAAGGAGAGGAATTACATTCATTCATTTTAGGCACGTGTTTGGGGTTGCTGAGGCAGAGGTTGGTCCTTGCAAGCTGAAAGGCCACTGGGAGCGCTCAGATCCTGAGGGATTCAGTCAGTGCAAGTCAACTGGGTCAGGGAGGACGATGCCAAACCCTGCCCTCTGCCTGGTTCATGTGCAGGCACTCACAAGCAGCTCAGCAGGACACACTGGAGCATCCTAAGAGCATCCAGACAGTAGATTAAATCCAGCTCAAGTAAGTTCTTCACAGAACAAATCCTTTGAAAGGTGATCCAGCGCTCTGCAGGCGCCACAGGATGCCCTACTGGTAGGATTTGTTGTGAAGCAGGGCTCCCAGTTTACACCAGTGCCAGGGAATGCCATGCCAGGGGCATTACTGGCACAACAACCAAAGGCACAGAGCTCTCCTCGCTCCTCCAGTGAGGAATTCCCAGTCTAAACAAAGCAATTGTGCATCACGGTGCTCCCTCCCCCAGAGCAAGCGGGATTTAAGGTGAAGAGGAATACTCAGGATTATGCCAAATTCTAGGAAAACAGAGGAATTAAGCTGCTCAGCCGAACCCTTTATCCACTCCTGCTCCCCAGGAGCTGGCTGGGGCTGTGTGATGCACACGTATGTGAACACACAACAGGCACACTCCGTTCCTGTGCCACGTTCACGCACTGCACACGAGTGACAGTCCCCAGCGCAGCAGCAGCCATTTCACGAGAGCAAACCAGGTGGGAGGAGAGCAGGTGGCTCAGTTTTGCCAGCTCCTGGCCCTCTGCCCCTGGCTCCTCTTCCCAGTTTTGCTGTCACCGTCAGCAGTGCTGATCTGGCCGGGAGCAGAAGGCCAGGATGAGGAGGAAAGGAAACTGCCATTGGACTTCTCAAGCTTTGTGTCCCTGTAACACAGTGATCTAGAACTAAGATATTCCAGGTAAATGATTCACCCAGAAGGAAGGGATGCCTCAGCTAATGCTGCATTTCTCGTGTGTCCACCCCTCTCTCCAGCACAGAATTCACTCCTGAAAACACCTCTGAACTGCAAACTCATGGAGTTTTCACAAAGGACTAGAACACTCTGCACTGCTTTGCTACAACATGTGTTTGCACAGTGAAGGCAACCTGGAACATCCCCACTCACCTGGCTCTGTATCAACTATTAACCAAAGATTAAATCTAGTCCAGCCCCATACAACACTCTCCAAAACCAACAATCGATTCGTTGTTGAGGAGTTATTAAAGAGCCAAGCAGCCCCCTCTGTAGTTAAAGAGAATGAGTGATTTGGGCATTGGAATCACACTTGGCATCAGGGCAGTCTGCCTCAAGTTTTGCTAAATCCAAGCTGCCTTTTCCATCCATTTCAGTGTGGTTTTCTACTGGAGAGTTTTCCTTTGTTGGCTGTAATTTGTGTCCTTTGAAGGCCACTGATGCTAAACTAAACCTCTGCATCCTCCCCTGCAGGCAGAAGAATCCATTTTTTGGGCCATTAGGTCTTTTTGGTACTGGGCTGGCTCATGGGGATCCCTTCTGGGGAGATGGGGAAAGCAGAGGGTGTGGCAGGGAACTAAGTCTGCACACCCAGGAATTCCCATCCCACCCGGAATCTGGTAAGTGGATGCAAAAAGCTCCCACCGTGGGTTTCACCAGTTTGTGTGAAGTTGATGTTCACTTGAGTCAGTGTCTTGCAGCACAGCAGACACAGAGCTCCAAGGAGAAAGAGGAATAAAGCAGATGAAGAGGAGCTTCAGCTCTCTGCAGGCTGTGTGCCAGTGCAGGGAAGAACAGCTCCCTGGAAAGTCAGCTTTGTTCCAGGGCTTAGAGTCAGCGTGTAAAGCACATTTCTGCCAAGATGCACCACTGTAGATTAGAGGGGGAGGTCAGCTGCAGCCTGCAGGAGCCAGTGTTCACATGGAGAATATTTCTGCACTGACAGAGAAATACTTTTCCTCTCAAGTGTGGGTAGGAAGTGTCAAACGTACAAGTGGCTGCACCTAACGGATCAAGAAAGTGCTTAAAAAATCCTGGAGAATAAATGACAGGTGATGCTGTGAATGCAGGTAGTGCAGGCTCAGGGAAAGGCAGAATCAGTGTGGCACAAGCCTGAGCTCCAGAAACAACCCCAGGAATGGTCTGAACCATGGAAAGAGCCACTGCAGAAGCCACAGCCTGTCCCACAGCACACTGACCTCCACCACCTTGAGAGCTCACCCTGCTTCCATTAACTCACTAGGATTTCATCCCCTGCTGTCTCAGTGAAAAGATGACACAACTAAAACCAGAGGAGAGGGCTTGACTGCCTCCCCCTCATTAAGGAATTCCAGGAGATGCTGTGGGAACTCCCTGTGTTTGGGCAGTGGGAGGAAGTTGAAGCCCTTGCACCAGCTTCCTAAACCAAGCAGGACCAGGCGGGCTGGCCAGAGAGGCAGCTGTCCCTTCGGCGGGGGACAAGCTCAGCTATGCAGCCTTTGTTGAAACGAACCCAAAAATAACAGTGAGTGCCACCTAGGGACCAGCACTCGGCAGGGAGGCAGCTGAGCCACACCACAGACAGACCATGTCGAGGCACATTTCAAACTGCAGCCAGGAGAGGCTCTGGACTCCTGAAATAACACCAGGTGGGTCAGTTTTGAACAGCAGCTTCTCCCCAGAAAGGCACCAGTTCAGTGAAGGAGATTTGACTCCATATTGTTGTGCTGTTGTACGGGCACAGTGCATCCCTTGGCTTCAAAGCTCTTTGGTTTAGGGAAGGGCATTTTCTAGATCAGGGTTTATTTAGGACCAGTGTGTACCTAGCAGTAAGTCAGAAGTAGATACTTGGCAGAGAGCCCTTGGGTTTGCACTAACACATCCCATGTAATCCAAATTCACCCAAGCCATGGACCCAGCATTAGTCAACAGACAGCAGTTTGTTACTGAGGGCTAGACCTGCACATCAACAAGGGACACCTGGCAGGACCTAACACTTATTTAATTAAAACTTGACCCATGGAGAACAAATACAACTTTAAAGCAGAGCTCCCTTGTTTCTTCCACAAATATGAGCTGAAGCTCTGAATCACCTTCTTCAGCTCTGCCTCCCCTGCCTGACCCCTCTTTGGACCTTGCAGGGTTTGTCTTGAGCTACTCAACTGGATCAGACTTGTCACCCCAAGTCCTGCCTAGGGATGATCCCAAAATCTTATAGGCACAGCCCAGAGTCTGTGCCAGTCTGCCCAGAGGCATTTCTGCAGGTGCACAGTGATTAACTGGTGCACATTTCCATATCACAAATTTTAAAAAAAAAAAAAAAAAAAACAAAAAGAAAAAGACCTCAGCTTGCTTGAAATGCAGCATATTAACCTTTGAAACTGGCAGTCATGGATACCAGCTTCAAAAAGATTAATATCAATAGGACAAAATCCCAGAGGATAGCATCCCATTGCTGCTGGTTTTTCTGGAGCAAAAAATAAGGCATTTTTAGCTTTATTTATTTCTTTATCTTTCTATCCTATTCTATAAAGAAATCCCGAAGTGGTTCATATTTACAGACAGAATCCAAGTACTGGAGGAGGGCAAGGGGAATGAGAAGTTGCCAAGGAGAGCTGTGGGTATGGATGGAGCAATGGGAAGGCAAGGGCAGGAGTCCTGCTGCCGTTGTCACAGTTAATTGCCAAGGCTCTGAAAAAGGTTTGTTACCGAAATAAATAATAACTCTGTTAGTTTAGGGGGTTCTGCAGGTCCACTGAGGCTGCACAACAGTAAATCCTTGGAGCAGGAGATGCAGCAGCAGCTTGGAGATGCTGATCTTATACCCTGCACTCGGCGCAGACCGCGTCAGAAAAAAGCTAATAATCATTAAGCTGCCATCTTTTATTTCTAATTATTTGTCTCCACAGCAGGGTTTCTCCAACCATCAAGCAAAAGGGAAGCAAGTCTCAAAGGAGTAACTGTTTTGAAGCGGGCTCGCAGCTGCCACGGCATGAATGGCTCTCCAAGAACAGTAGCAACCGCTCCACAGTGCCCACGGAGCTGGGAGGGAAAGCATCTCTGTTTGGGCTGGTTTTCAATGTCGGTTTTTAGGTCAACTAAAACAGCCTTTCTTATGCAATAGAAAGCTCACTTGCTTTGGGGTTTTTGCTGTCATTTAATTAGATGGTAATTCCGAGGGCAGCACTGCTGTTCTGAACCCCACAATGAGAACTGTTTCACTGCCTTACAAAGCAACAAAGTGAAAACACTGAGCTAAGCCGGCCCTAGAACTTGACACCGCATTGGGAGTCTGATGGTCTCTTCTGAGGGGGTGGGACAAGTGAAAGGGACACCCTGCTGCCACATTTCTATAGACTCATTTAGGTTGGAAAAGCCCTCCAAGATCATGGAGTCCAACCATTGCCCCAGCACTGCCAAGGCCACCACGAACCCATGTCCCCAAGTGCCACATCCACAGGGCTTTTAAATCCCTCCAGGGATGGGGACTCCACCACTGCCCTGGGCAGCTGTGCCAGGGCTGGACATCCCTTTCCATGAAAAATTTTCCCAGTGTCCAACTTGAACCTCCCCTGGCACAACTTGAGGCCGTTTCCACTTGTCCCATCCCTTCTTCCCTGGGAGCAGAGCCCGACCCCACCCCCTGGCTCCCCCCTCCTGTCAGGGAGTTGCAGAGCCAGAAGGTCCCCCCTGAGCCTCCTTTCCTCCAGGCTGAGCCCCCCCAGCTCCCTCAGCTGCTCCTGCTGCTCCAGCCCCTTCCTCAGCTCTGTTCCCTTCCCTGGACACGCTCCAGCCCCTCAATGTTTTCCTTCTCATGAAGGCCCAGAACTGACCCCAGGTTTCATGGTTTGGCCTCAGCAGTGCCCAGCACAGGGGGACAGTCACTGCTCTGGTCCTGTGGCCACACCATGGCTGGTACAAGCCAGGTGCCCTTGGCCTCCTTGGCCACCTGGGCTCATGTTCAGCTGCTGCTGACCATCGGGAGAGGTCAAAGTAGAAAATCTCACTGAGAGGTTGCAAAAGCAGGAGATCTCATTTGTTCTTTCTCCTTGAGTTACATGTAAACAAGAATTAAGGGGAGACCCAAGTTCACAACACAACAAGCTGCTCAAGGGCTGCATGAAGCAATGCCATTCTCCAGGTGACACAGGAGTTATAGGATAGAAAGAAACAACTTCATGTACAGGTGAACTTTATGATCATAACACGTGTCTCCCAGTCACCAGTGCCAACGTATGGAAACACATATCCCAGCCACAGCCCATGAATGGACACACTGCACTTACCACCACAGACAGGCTTGGATTTCTTGACAGGCTTTAAATAATGGCAACATGTGTGAACCTCAGCTTGAAGGTCAAGAGCAAAACCCCCAACAGAGGCTCTTCCTGCATCTTCAGCATTTTCCTTCGCGGTTGCTGCCCTGCAGCTACTCACAGCTTCCCTTGGGGGAAGCTGCTGGTGTGGTACTTTCAGGACTGATGCCCAACACTTATCAGGTCAGGAGGAGAGATTCTGTTACTACAGCTCCTGTGCATTTTATGTTTACCTATGAGATAAGCCAGGCTTAAAGATGGAGAAGCAATCTGAGCCTGCTGTTTTTGCTGCTGGGTGAAGGTCAGGACTGTCCCTGAGCCAGTGAAACTGTACCACACCACCTTGATCTTTGTCATCACTAACATGGTACCACTTGGCTTTCTGGTTCTCTGACCAAGACTCACACCAGGCCTTCAGCAAGCAGCAAATCTCATCTCATAGCAGGGTCAAAACCCCCAAAGCCTGTAACAAGGAGGACCACTGAAATGCAGCTCTCTGCCCTCTGTGTGGCACGTGGAAGACAACAAAAGTCACAGTGAGACTGCTCTGGGGAGAGCAAACCAGGGATTGTCCAGGTTATTAGTGTTCCCCAAGGAAGAAATTCACCCGTGACCAGAGACTTGTCACACAGCCATAACCAGATGGGCCACTGTCCTGGGGGTCTGCTCAGGCATCGAGGATGAAAATCTGCTCCAGACCACGCTGGCACAGCTACAGCCACTGTGCTGGTACAGGTTTGCCTCTCACTGACCCACCCTGACTCTCACACAAGTACAGATGACTGCTGGGTGTTTGATGGGGTTGGGGCTCAGCACCTCTGATCAAGGCAGGTCCTCTAGTTAATTAACAATCCTGCTTTTAGAGATGTGGCAGCAAAGAGCAGCTCATTCAGATCAGGAGGCAGCAGCACAGCTCCCAAACACAGTCCTGCACTCAGTTCTGGGTAGGAACAACAGGTTTGTGCTTGGTTTTGATTCATCTCTCCTGCCCCCCCCGTGAGGCATCGTATAATGATGTTGAGTTTAAGAATAAAGCAATCTGCTCCCAGCAGCTTCCTCTGCTTTCCCTTCAAGTCTTTCATCAGTGACCAGCAGCACATGGAATGCTCAGGCACGGAGCAGAGCTGCTCTAAATATGCTCAGTCCTTTCCATTACTAGGAGAGGAGAGGATGTTACTGGGGAGGGAAGGTGGTGTACAGCAGGGCACTCTGAATTTTAGAAAAAGAAAGAAAGTAAATTTGAAACTTCTGAAGTTTCCAGAGATCACAACCTCGATGCAAAGGCACCAGTGAATCCAGAGAAACAGCTTCACCAAGCAGATGCCCCTTCCTTCCCTCCACCCCGAGCACACACACCTTATCCTGAGAGGCTTTAACACACAAAGTGCACCTCACAGGTTCAGAGCAGACACCAAACCCCTGCAGGGAAGCCACCAAAATCCACCCTATCAGGGCAATTTTTCCCCCATGCAAAGCAGGATTTCCTTGAACACAAACTGAAAACATCAGTGCCTGATGCACTTCTCCAAACTCGACATGCATTTCCCCTCCTCTCCTGCCAGAAGGGCCTCAGGCTCCTCTCCCTGCCCTGCAAAGCCCCAAATATCTGCAGGATTGCAAAGGGGAAGGTGGCCCAGTGCCCTCAGAGAGCCCCTTACACAACCACAGCACTGACCTGCCACCAACAGCTGCCAGGGGAGGAACAGGGGCCATTGCCTTCCACTCCTAAAAACATTTTCACTTCCATTTGCTCACTTGCTGGCACTTAGTGAGCTTTTATCCCCAGGTCAGTGCTCCACAGCCCAGGCTGGCAATAAAAACTCCCACTGGGGGCTTCTTCATATTATAAACCACAACAATTTCCAGGCCAAGGAAGTGCTTTTCAATATCCAAAATCTTCACACACACACAAACACACAAACACACACAATAAATCCTGCTGTTTGATAACAACCAACACTCCAGAGTTTAAGACAGAATAAACGGGTCAGTTCATTACTTAAGTCCAAGCAACTTAAAATTCAGGCATTTCCATCTGACAAAGCAGGTACTTACCCAGAGATGAGACAGCCGGGCCAACCACGCAGGCGAGGCACCAAAATCCATCACGGGGCAGCAGATAGAAGAGAATGGAGAAGAGACACTGGTTAATAAGCAGTTTCAACCAAACACGAAAAAACCCCCCTCACCCACCAGGAGAAACCCCTGGCGCCACAAAGTCAAGTGCTCACACTTGTATCCACGTGAGCCCGGCAACAACCCAGCGAACTTCAGTGTCTGACTCTCCCCAGGACTGAAGGTGGAACCGGACGTTCACGTTCAGCCACTTCTTAAGAATAAGTAAACACCAAGTGGGGAAGGAAAAAAAAAAAAAAGCCCAAAAAACATCAGCCCGGCATTACCTAACGCTGATAATACGGCGGGTGGTGACGCAGGCGCCCGTGCCTGCCAGCCTGCAGTGAGTACGGACTCCGGGGAGTACGGACTCCACTGAGTAGAGCCCCCCGTGCCGGGGCACTGCCGAGGGCCGGGCAGAGCCGGGCTGGAGGAGCAGCGAGCTCCGTGAGGGCTCCGCACTGGCCCTGAGCACTTCTGCGCCCGTCCCGTCCTCTGGCCTTACATAAGTTCTCGTGCAAACTTGTGGAGGGATGGGCACAGCCCAGCGCCGCCGGCCCCGGCTGCACAGGGCTGCCTGAGCCCTCTAGTGGGGCTTCAAAAACTCCGCGAAACACCCAGAGACTTAATTTAATTAACACTCTGCCAGAGGCCTCTAAACCCTAATCCTCTCAACAAAAGGATCATTAACTAAATGAAGAGATTCAAGAGAGCAGCGGTGCTCCCAGCCGAGGCAGGGCCGGCTCTGTGCTCTGGTGGGCACACGCCGGGGCCAGAAATCCAGCGGGATCCTCAGCCCACACCACAGCCCCACCGAGGGTCCAGGGACCTGCTTGACATGTGGCATGATGCTGGAGTCCTCAAGAATCCCCCTGCCACAGCAGAGAATCACAGAATCATGGAATGGTTTGGGTTGGAAAGGACCTTAAAGCCCATCTCTTGCCCACCCCCTGCCATGGGCAGGGACACCTTCCACTAGCCCAGGTTGCTCCAACCTGGCCTTGGACACTTCCAGGGATCCAGGGGCAGCCACAGCTTCTCTGGGCAACCTGTGCCAGGGCCTCCCCACCCTCACAGGGAAGAATTTCTTCCTAATACCCAATCAAACCTAGACCAGGTGGAGAGATGGGCACAAGCCCACACCCATCCTTTGGGATGCACCACAACGCCAACAGTCCCGGTGCCATCACCTCCATCAAGACTGAACCCCCAAACTGCTGAACAGGGATTGTAGCTGGAGCACCAGTTGTTTTTCAAGTGTTATTATCCACTGATGCCAAGAGGGTGCAAGCAAAGAGCAGCTCTCCTTTCCAGAGGCAGCCTCAGTCCCTCAGCCAAAGTTGGGAGAACATCACCTCACCCAGCCCAGCCAGCACAAACAGCAGGAAGGGTTCTCCTCACCAAGGAGCCAGGGTGTGTATTGGCAGAGGAATTTACATCTTGGCAGGGTGAAGTCAAGGAAAATCCTTTACAGCCAAGGGTTCCCAGCCCACACATCTCACCCCAATGGGACAGGGATGGAGATCCTGCCTTTTGCAGGTGGCTCTCTTGGAAAGTCACCTCTAACTCTGGAGCCATGCAGAGGATCCAGAGCAGCTGCGAGGAGCACATCCATGAGACTGCTCATCAGTGTGGTGAACAGGAGCAGAAGAGCTTAATTACAGGGCAGGGATCGTTCCCTCTGGGTTTGGATGCCAGCAGGAGCCTCGGCGGGGCCGCGCTGCCCCACGGGACAGGCGCTCCTCGACAGCACCCGCAGCCAGTGCCACCTCTGCCCGTGGCACATGCAGAGCCCGTGGCCAGCAGGATCCCAGCTGGGGCTCTGGAGGGGCTGCAGAGCCTCAGGCTCCAAATGTGAGAACCCAAAATGAGGAAGAATTTGGGTGTTGCTTGTGAAAACCTTATCTGCCAGCAACGTCTCTACACAGGGGATGCTACTGCAGCCCACCCAGAGGTACTGGTCCCCCAATTTCAGTACTGTGTGTGAGCACCCCAGTCTCAGCAGCAGCTTCTGGAGGTCAAATTGAGCAGTTCACCAGGGCAGAGGCAGCAGTGGCTGCTGGTGGGGCAGAGCCACAGCCCAGAAGCTGCCACAACCTGGGCAGGGCTTTGGGGTGACCAGGAGGTACTTTAGCCCAGACCAACACTGCCTTCCTCGGGACCTCAGCCCTGCAGGGTGCCAGCCAAGCTGGTCACAGCCCCTCCATGCTTGGGATTGGATGGTAGAAAGCATTTGCAGAGGTTTCCAATTTTGGCAAGTGCCTTTGCCCCCATCTCCTCCCTGCAGATCCTTGGGATGTGCCTCTGGGATAGAGCTGACACACTGTGGCCGAGGCCTCCTTGCCCAAAGATGCAGGAATGACTCTTCCCACAGCTAATGAGGTCATCCTGCTCTGACCCGGGGCAGTTTTTGGCACACACAGAGTAAGCAGCATTCTCCTTGTTCACCTCCTGGGATAAATCCCAAGAGCTCCCATCTCCCCAGCCCAGGCAAGAACACAGATGGTCACGGAGATTAAAACATGCAGAGAATTAACCACCCCGAGCAAATGAGCTTCCTCACCCAGCCCAGCACTGCCAGGTGGTTCCAGGTCCAGTGCTTGGATCTGATCATCACGCTTTGCTGAGCTCCCATAACAGCCTCAGATGGAGCAGGGCAGGGGCCAGGGAGCCGAGCAGGACGAAGGCAGTTTGTAGGGAAAGCAGGATGCAAACTGCCAGAGACCACATTCTCCTCCTGCCGCAGCACGAGGAAAAGCAGCAGCACCGGGAACGAGGCTGGCCAGTGGCAGGGATCGATTCTGCTCTCGGATATCCTGTGTATTCCCACTGAAAGGCAGCTGAGATGGAGCAAACAGCGCTGTCACCCCGATGAGAGCCATCTGCCACCCCAGACACTGCTCACAGGGCACCAGGCACCCGGGGGCTGCCAGCAGGGAGCGAGGAAAACCCACGCCAGCCCCCGCTGCCTTTCCTAGAAGGATGAAGTCTTGGCACCCGGCTGAGGTACAGGATCCACCTGGATGGACCGGAAAGGGGCCACGTGACCATCCCAGGAAAGGCAGGGATTCTCCAGGCTGCCTCCAGGGAGGAGCTTCACCCCAAACCCACCAGCAATATTAAGTCTTATTTTACTTTTACTCAAAACCATGGAATAAAATTCCAACAGGAGTGGATGTCTTGCTCAGCCACCTCCCAGCTGCCAGTGGGGATCCTTAGGGCCGGGTTTCAGGCCGTGCCACGATGCAGATGACCCCATTTGCTATTAAAAGCCTGCACTGTGCACCCGAGGAAATCCCCGAGCAGCGCTGACCCCATCTGCCAGCCCCCGGATTGGCCGGGGCCCATCCCGGCCATACGGCAGAGATTCACCTCCACGTCAGCCACGGCACCTCCAGCACAACAGCAACAACACACGCACAAAGTCACGTTACAGCTCAACGTGGCCCTGGGCCGGGCCAACATCTGCCCTCCCTCCTCATCACTCGAGTTCACCCCGGGGCAAGGAGGTGACTCGGTGCTGCCCTGTCTGACACACGCCCTCAGCGCAGAGAAAGAGCTCCCCCCCCGGGTCTGAAGTGCCCATCTTGCCCCATCTCCAAGGGGTTTGGGAGAGTGGATATAGAAATACAAGCACTTAAAGGCTGGTGGTGTCTGGCAAGCACCTAAACCACCGTGGCACTCGGAGGGATCAGCTCACAGATGCAGCCTGGAACACACCCGCTGCCCTAATGCCCTGGTGATGCTTGGAGGCATCAGCCCACCCCAGCTCCCCACACCGGGTTCTCCAGGCTGTAAACCAGCTCAGAGCTTCCCCACCACTGCCTCGTCTGCAACACTTACAGCACTGCTGTAGTGCCACTGCAGTCAGCTCTGAAGGCTCCCAGCACACGTCAAGCCTCACACCCCCTCCTTAAATCCCCCTCAGGTCAACTGTGGCCAGGTGTAATTACCTACATGAAAGGCACTTGAAGCTGCTAATTTAGCCATCCAATAAGAGGATGTATTTGTGCCATCAGGTTGAGGTTGTTCCTCCTCTTCTGCTGCTTACCAGGGTGCCAAAACCTGCCTCACATTAAGTGGACCAGCAAGAACTTCACCTCATCCCTTGCTACCAAACCTGGCTTTCCCAGGAATGGCAGAAATAGGAGCAGAGAACAAGAACAGGCAGGAATAGGAGCAGAGAACATTTTAACAGGGTTTGTTCATTTAACTGAATTAATGGCTTTATTTGTGTTGGTAAAGGGCTTTGGGGTGAGCCAATGGAGGAGCAAGGGCAGGCCCTACACCCTAAAACACTTCCCAAGGGCCAGAAAATACACTGCTGTTGAGCCCATGGCCATCCACAGGCCAGGATGGGGATGGAGTGGCTCCCACAGCCTCAGTGTCCTCCTGGGGGGATCCCAGCTGCCCCAAATCACCAGGTGTGGGAAGTGACCTCCAGCCTGGGAGACACGGCACAGCAAGGTGCCCCGAGCTCCCTTCCAGCCTCTTCTCCTAAAATCTACCAAAGAGCAGCAGCTTTGGAGCCTTCCCAGAGCCACAGGGTCCGACTCGAGGGGGCTCAGACAGCACAAAGCTGTTCTGACCCTGCACTTCTGCCCCAGCACAGACCCTCAGTGCAGAAGCCCAGATGGTGCCTGTGTGAGCCCTGCCCACGGCGCCCCGTCCTCCTCTGGTAGTCCAGGATTTCCTCGGGGGGCATCAGGAGAGGACTAGACACAAACCATACTAATTGGATAGTCCTGCAGCCCTACAAAGCTGCCAGCAGCTGCTCAGAACCTCTTGTGAACCACAAAAAATAGTTTCATCTAAGGAGCAGGCGTGGATTAAACGCCACAAACGCCCTTTTCTTCCCCCTGTGCAAAGTGCATTTTTCCCCCACACCGCGGTCCCACAACAAAACCCAGCCCGGCAGATCAAACCAGGAAATTTAGCAAACTTTGAGCACGAACAATAGCAGGAGGATTTTCCAGACCTTCAAGCTTGTTTGGCAAGTCCCAGATTATGTAAAGCGCCGCT